GACTACCGTTTTATGCTCCACTAGCAATATATGAGTGACCCAATTTTTCTTGCATCCTAGCATCAGGTGTTGTGTTTTTATTTCAGCCACTCAGGTATGTGTGTTGTGATAATCTCACTGGTTTTAACTCAAATTTCCCTAATGGCTAATGATATCGAACAATCCTTTACATGCTTATTTGCCATCTGCATATCTGTTCCTGTTTGCCCATTTTCTAATTGATTTTATTTTTTACTATTGAACTTTGCGAATTCTTCTGTATATTCTAGTCCTTTTTTGGATATGTGGTTTGCATATATTTTCCCTATCTGTAGCTTTATTTTTCATACCCTTAACAAAGTCTTTGATACAGTAAAAGTTTTTACTTTTGATGAGGTCCAGTTCGTTTTTCCTTTCATGGGTCAAGCATTTAGTGTCAAGTGTAAAAACTCTTTGTCTACCCATGAGTCCTTAAGATTTTCTCATTTTATTTTGAAATGCTTTATAGGTTTTTTTTTTTAATATTTAAGTTCATGTTTTTGCCTATGTTTGTCCCAGTTGCTCCAGCACTATTTCTTTAAAAGGCTGTCTTTTCCCTTATTGAATTGCTTTGACACCTTTGTCAAAAATCAGTTGGGCTTGTTTTGGTGTATTTCTAAAATTTGTTCCATTGACCTATTTGTTCCATCGTTCCCTCCACCAGCATCACAATGTTGATTACTGTAGCTAAATAGTAAGCCTTAACTTAGGCAGTTTTTATTCTTTTCCAAAGTTGTCCTAGCTGTTCTTGGCCTTTTAAAAAAAAATTATTGTTGTCCAGGTACAGTTGACTGCATTTACCCCCCTGTTCTTAGTCTTTTGTCTTTACATATGTTTTAGAATGTCTATAAAAACAAATCCTCCAGGATTTTGATAGGAATGTTAAATTTATAGATTTAGGAAGAATTGAACTTTTTACTATGTTGAGACTTCCAATCCATGAACATGGCATTTTTCTCCATTTATTTAGGTCTTTGACCTTTCTTTAATAGTTTTCAGCATACAGATCCTGTACGTCTTGTTAGATTTATACCAACATATGTAATTTTCTTTGAAATGATTGTAAATGGTACTGTTTTTCATTTCCAGTTTGTTTTGTAGTGTCAAGCAAGAATCCAGCAAAATACAACTCTAAAGTGTATTTCTTGAAGCTGTGGCATATCTTTAAGCTTTTTCCTACATACGGTATTATTGGGTTGGCCAAAAAGTTTGTTCTTTCCCCACTTAAGGTGGCTCTAGTCGCATTTAGTTGTCTTCAACTTCATTTGAAACAATTTTGTTAGATTGTATTGTGACAGCTGTCGTGACAGCCTGCATTAAAAAAGATCAAAATTGGTGAATTTCTGTGTGGCCACTTTAATTTTGAAGATGGAAGAAAATATGCAACATTTTCAGCATTTTATACTTTATTATTTCAAGAAAGGTAAAAATGCAACTGAAAACACATAAAAAGATTTGTGCAGTGTGTGGAGAAGGTGCTGTGGCTGATCGAAATGTGTCAAAAGTGGTTTGTGAAGTTTTGTGCTGGACATTCCTTGCTGGACCATGCTCCAAGGTTGGGTAGACCATTTGAAGTTAATAGCGATCAAATGGAGACATTGAGAAGAATCAACATTATACCATGTGGGGAATAGCCAACATGATCAAAATATCCAAACCAATGAAGTTATTGGTGAAAATGAAAACTGTGTCTTTTATGAAAAAAACCATACAGACTTTTTGATCAACCCAATACTAGTTTAGATTTGAAATAAGGGTAGAAAGAATAGGATAATTAGTCCATCCTCCCAGTTGATATCAGATGTAGAAATAATCCCTTTTGATAATACCTGATCATTATTGCCACTTGAAAACTTTCAGGATGGGGAAGTAGTCTCTATATATAAAGGAGCTCATTTTAGTGTTAGTTAACTGATTGTCATTGTTCATTTTCCTGTTGACTCACGGTAATTAAAAACCTCCAATTAAAAAAAATATTTTAGAGCTAGGGGAAGGGAGGGAGGGAAACATCAATGTGTGGTTGCCTCTCACGCGCCCCCTACTGGGGACCTGGCTGGAAACCCAGGCATGTGCTCAGACCCCTTGATTCGCAGGCCAGCACTCAAATCTACTGAGCCACATTAGCCTTGGCAAAAAAACCCATCCTAATACTTATCCTGCCCTGCATTTTCTTGCCTTTCTTGTTCAGATTCAAGGATGGAGTCCATCATCTCAAAGTTCTCACTTTCACATAGCATCCTAGGTATGGATTCTTTATCCTGTGCCCTTCTGCCAGACATACATACAGTAAACATAGTATGACTCTAGTTTCTAATGACACCAGCCTTCCAGAGCCCAAACACCTGAAAGTGATGAGAGTGAAGTAGAAAGGTGCATTAGCTTGTAGGGTTGAGCGACTTATCTAGATTAGGTGAAAGAAATGGACTGGATGATACGCTCTTTTGATTGAGTTTTAAGATCTTTCTTAAAGTATTTCTATAAATGAACAGACTCAAATGAGTCTTGAATTCCCAAGATCACCCAGTTAACAGTCCAAGGATAATGGACACCCGAACCCCAAATTATGTTGCTAATTTAAGATTCTGGAGTCACATTCCAGACCTAAACAATTTCTGGGGTGGGGTAGAGGAGTGGAGCAAGCTCCATGGATGCTTATTTAGCATTCCTAACTTTCAGAACTGATGATTTTTGCCTCTACAAGTATTTTGAGCACCTTTTAGTTACAATGCATGTTTGGACAACAGATGAATAACTATACATGTAAAGAGAATGCTAATGCAAGGTAGAAGGCAATAGTGAACTATGGCTTTATAGGAGGCCGATGCCTTATCTGTTAGGCCACTGGGGCTTCTGAACTATGGCTTTTTAAATGGAAGGGAGAGCACACTTGGCTAAGAGGAGATAAATAAAGACTTGAAGGATTAGACAGCACTTACAATGACTGGTAGATAAGTTAAATTTTTTTACTTTTAGTTTTTATTATATATACTTAGTGCAGTATTCATTTCTCATTTAATAAGGCTGTTCACAACTACAAAAGCAATTTGAACAACTCTGCATCATTATACTTCAGATGAAAAACCATTACGTGCTGTATCAGTTTCTTTTAAAATTTCATTTGGGGAGGCATACAGTTATAGGCCCTCAGTCTGTCAATTTAAGACATAATAACAATGCTTAAGAAAGATGAACATAATATGAAATTACATTAGAATTTGTGATTTCAAGGCTATTTCAACCACTTATTTACCCTCTATGTCGATATTCACATGAAACAACAGCATACTATTTATAAATGATCTAAATGCAAACCAGAGTGAAATGGTAGGCCTTAGTTAAATATTGTAGTATTTTAAAAGCTTAATTAAAAACCAATGATAAAAAGCTGTTGATTTATAAGTAGCTTACTCAGTTTTAACAAATCTTAATTTGGAAATTGAATACTGACATTAAAAAAACCATGAAGCAAATAATACATCCTTAGAAATATTGAAGAACTTAGTCCTTGCTTACAAATTTTGTTTTTGGTTAATACACGTAACATGTTTCTTAAATCTCTCCACTTTGTGTCTATAAAAATAAAATTGTCCTCAGTATCCCTAAATTCTCTTTTCCAAATAAGGCTATTGTTACATGGTAAAACATTATTGAATCACAGGTTTAATTTTACATCAGTGTTGAAATATGTGAAGTTGTAACAAATTCATTGTTAGGTAAGGAATCAGAGTACAGTATAGTAACTAGTCATTCTTTAGAGGTAGAATTCTTAATCACAGTTTTATAAAAAGATGCAGTAGTTTGTATCTGTACTGTCTTACTAGTTATAGTAAGTATATTAGTTATTAGTAAGTTTGCTTCCCATTATAAGGTTAACAGTAGGGTATATGGGAGGGCTCCTCAGAGGCAATGAATAACCTTATTGGTCCTTGTTTTCAAGTGTTACAGGGACGATTCCTGGACACTGAGTGCACTTACCAATGAAGGTAACTGATCATATATGGCATTTATCTCGTTTTTTAAAAGCTACAAAGTAGGGAAATCTAAGTGTCTGTTCTTCCAAAAGCATAAAGAGGAAAATAAATCTCTTTCTGCACCACTCTGATTGTAAATTACAAATGAAACCATTCTCTCTGGCTATTAATTATTGCTTAAGAATTCCAACAGTACTGACCTACAGAGGGGTTCTATACTTGAATTTAAAAGTTGATTGTTTTTAATCATATTTGTCATAAACAATGTTACAAGTAGCTATACACTAAAAATTCTATTCCATTCATGATGTAGCTGAATTACTAGTATCTGAGTAATACTCCACAGACTGCAGTAAGCTAGGATGGCACAGACTTTATTTACATAGTTACTAACACATGTAGTATTCAAATTTAGGATTCTGTGGGTTTCTAATCTCACTTGAATGCCAATAAAATGACCAGAGAAGTTATTTTATGAAAGTTATAATAAAAATTGTAATAAATATGTATACCCAGTGCTAAACTACAGTAGGCCTTATATTTCATAAAATATACCTGAATATGGTACTTAGATAATTGAAAATAGAATAAAACAGTTGTAAAAAAATAAAACTCATAGCCAGGTAATGTTTCTTCTAGTTAACTGGAAATTATGATTTGTATTAGGATCGGATCATTATGTGAGCAAATAAGATTAGAGATACTTAATTAAGTCCCTTTCTAACTGATTTTATTAGTTCTTTTTTACTGACTTTGAGAACTCAGAAAAGGAGATATTTATTTATGTTAGGCCCAGATTCTTTTAGCAATATTTCCTTCACAACTGCTGGTAATAATGTATCCAACTCAATAATCATGTTAAAATTTACATTAACACTCTTAACAAAAAATAAAACAAAATTATTTCCCTCATTTAATTTTAAATTTCCATACCTTAGACCAGGGGTGTAAACTCATTTTCACTGGGGGCCATATCAGCCTCATGGTTGCCTTCAAAGGGCTGAAATAATTTTAAGACTGTACAAATGTAACTACTCCTTAACTGTTAAGGAGTTGAAATTACATTCGGCCCTTTGAAGGTGACCACGAGGCTGATGTGGCCCCCGGTGAAAATGAGTGTGACACCCCTGCCCTAGACAGAATGAATGTATCCTTAAGGAAACCGAGCAACCTATAGCTATTTTACTTCAAAGAGATAATTTGTCCTAATTTTAGTAAGTATGACTTAGCATTTTTAAGAATTACCACAATATCAGCTTTTGGGAATGTAAGACAAGTATATAAAACTAAAACTTTTTGTTAGTATTTTAAGTTGAAATATAGTTGGTTATAAAAGTCTCATGAATCTGTTTTTCACAGCTATGCTTCTCCTCACATTAGAGATGCATCTGTAAAAAACAGAAAAGTCGGGTCTTTGTCTTCTAAAGATATATTCAATCCATGATTAAGTAATTCTCAGATGATTTATAACTTAACATATTGAAAACTTCTACAATTAATTTGTAATTGCCACATTCACAAAGAAACTTCTGGGTAAGAGAATCTTTTAAAAAACATTGTTTGGTGTTGCATTTAAGCCCAAAGTTCATTTATTTAAATCACCCATGACACATTTGTAAAAAATTTTTTACACTTAGGAAAATTCAATTATTAATATGGCTTAATTCAATAATACCTATATTCTGTAAAATTTTGTTATACACTTAAGGACTATTTGGAGCAATAAGATTACTTGCACAGAAAAAAGCGAAGACTTTCACATTAAAATTATAATTGTTTCACACTTATGGTAGTAACTGAAAATATTTTGGAAAATACTATTAATGGTCTTGACTATAACAGTTTATTGCATTTTTTGTCTCTCTTTTTCAGTATTAGGTACTCTGATTTGGAGTTTTAAGTTCTGCTTTTCCTTTTATCTTCAAATAGACTCTTCAGCATATAAACCTGAATGGCTGACACCACCACCATAACCGCTAAATTAACCATAGACCAGAAATTGACTCTATCAAAGTTGCTTTCTTGTATATTTCGATCACGAGCTTCAAATGCTCTAAGCAGAGTTTGGATATGACCACTTTTGCTTAGTCTGGACTTGATACTGTTGATGGATTCCTGGAGATAAAGAAAACAGTTTTACTATATTTTAATTTAAATTTAAAATGTGTTTCACAACACCCCAATATTCAAATAGTTTTATATCTAAACACAGTGTTGTTTGTTTTTTTTTAAAAGATTTTATTTATTCATTTCTAGAGAGGGAAGGGGAGGGAGATGGGGAGAGAGAGAGAAACATCAATGTGCAGTTGCTGGGGGTCATGGCCTGCAACCCAGGCATGTACCCTGACTGGGAATTGAACCTGCGATGCTTTGGTTCGCAGCCCGCGCTCAATCCACTGAGCTACACCAGCCAGGGTGTTTTTAAAAAAAGATTTTATTTATTTATTTTTTAGAGGGAAGGGAAGGGAAGGAGAAAAAGAGAGAGAGAGAAACATCAATGTGTGGTTGCCCCTTATGTGCTCCCAACTGGGGACCTGGACCACAACCCAGGCATGTGCTCTGACTGGGAATCGAACCAGCAACCTTTTGGTTTGCACGCCCATGCTCAATCCATTAAACTACATCAGCTAGGGCTAGATACAATGTTAATTAAGGGACAGATGCTACTTAGATTACCTAAAGCTCTTCTTTTGTAAGTTTATGTAATAGTTCTGATACTTTATTGTTTACAAAATTATTTAACAAAGGAGCAAAGCTACTGTGAATTGAAAATAAATAGTATGATGCCCTGGCTGGCGTAGCTCAGTAGACTGAGCGCGGGCTGTGAACCAAAGCGTCGCAGGTTCGATTCCCAGTCAGGGTACATGCCTGGGTTGCAGGCCATGACCTCCAGCAAATGCACATTGATGTGTCTGTCTGTCTGTCTGTCTGTTGTCTCTCTCTCTCCCTTCCCTCTCTATAAATAAATAAATAAAATCTTAAAATAAATAGTATGAAAATACATTCAAATGGCATAATATCAGGAATTTTACATACATTATTTCTTTTTTAGCCCTCACAACCATAAGGAAGTTTTAAAAAACTGAACTGATAAGTTTTTAGATATTTACTTCTATATAATACATTGTATGTTAATATTTTTCCCTTTAATCTGGTTAGTCTGGTCCAAATTAGTATTTAGCAAAACACCCAATGTTTTTTTCTCACAAAGCAGTGAAATTAGAAAATTCTTCAATTTGCCCTGGATGGTGTAGCTCAGTGGACGGAGTGCAGGCCTGTGAACCAAAGGGTCGTAGGTTCTATTCCCAGTCAGGTCACATGCCTGAGTTGCAAGCCAGGTCCCCATTTGTGGGCACACTAGAGGCAACCATACACTGATATTTCTCTCCTCTTTCTCCTTGCTTTCCCCTCTCTCTAAATATAAATGAAATAAAAAAAATACTTCAATTTTACATGTGCATTCTATACATATAAACGTGTACCGTATTTTTAATAAAAACATACTCCAGCCCTGGCTGGTGTGGTTCAGTGGACTGAATGCCAGTCTGCAAACCAAAGGGTTGCTGGTTCGATTTCCAGTCAGGGCACGTGCCTGAGTTTTGGGTCAGGTCCCCAGTTGCAGGCATGTGAGGGGCAACCACACACTGATGTTTCTCTCCCTCTCTCCCTCCGTCCCCCCTCTAAATAAAGAAGTGAATAAACAAACAAACAAATCTTCTTAAAAAATAAAAAGAAATAAAAACATTCCAACATCACATTCATTAAACAAACTTACCAGGATGCATTCTAAGTTATGTATCTCTAAAAAAGCTATTTTATAGGAGGGACGTGGTCAGAAATCATTTGAAAACTAACTACAGATTATATGAACATAAGAAAATTAAGTTGAGATTTGAAATGATGTCAAAGTATTTATGGCAAAAATAAGAAAATTCAAGAAACAAATTTTTTTGGAGAATCACTTTGCTTAAAAATCCTCATTTAAGCAAGAAATATACTCAAAATTTCAGACTGCTGTGTTAATTTTACAAAACCACACAATATAATATTTATCATGATCATATTTGTAAAGGAATACAGATATTTTCCAGAAAAATAAGGGGGCTCAGCTCCTCAAAGAGAATGTATAATTCTTTTTAATAGCATAATGATGATAATCATACATACAATTATTTGTTCCAGTTTGCTATTGTGACACAAAATTTGGGGGAAGTAAATGTGAAAAAGTTCCTGAAAGACACTTTTTTTTCCTGAAAAAGAGATTTGGAAGTATTTTAAGCCATATTTAAACCTGAACTTTCTAGTCATTTTATTTAACTATGTGAATAAAGTCAATCTCTTGAGAATGCAGTGAAGCACTAGTAAGATTTATAATTACTTGTATCTTGTTCCTACTGGCAAGATAAATTTTAAATGGAATAATATAGATATATGATTGAGATTTTTAAAATGGGTGTGAAGAACCCTGGCTGGTGTGGCTCAGTGGGTTAAGCACTGGCCTGCAAATGAAAGGTTGCCAGTTTGATTCCCGGTCAGGGCACATGCCTGGGTTGCAGGGCCAGGTCCTTGGCAGCGGGCATGCAAGAGGCAACTGATCCATGTTTCTCTCTCACACATAGATGTTTCTCTCCCTCTCTTTCTCTCACTTTAAAAATAAACAAATAAAAATGGGTGTGAAGAAGACTGGATTATAGTGAAAGTATAGATACATCATTTCCATTTTAATTTAAGCCAGTTCCTTATCTAAAAAATGGAATGGAAGGGGAAAGAAAGACTGGAACTAGACTAATAATAAGTCATCTTCTGGCTCTAAACTTCAGCTAAGTTTAATGCACATATGAAATCAGGGTGAGATCAAAAACTGTCACGGTAAAAATTCATGCCAGTCGAATTTAATACTTTAAGTTTGTGTTCACAGTAACATCAGTGGAAAAGGGAAGAAAACTGACATTTGTTGTGCACCAGACACTGCTTAAAGCACTTATTTCATCCTCACACTCGTGAGGTGTTGTCCCCATTTTTGCAGGTAGGAAACCCAGGCTCAGAGAGCTCAGTCATCAAGGAATTATGCATATAATAGGACCACTTAATATTCCAACTTAAGCTAACTGATTTATATCTCTTCTGCTATAATTTGTTCCTTTCCTAAGAAACTTGATATGACCAAAATATCACATTATAAAAAGAAAGTTCAGGTGAGAAGAATATAGAGGTTATACCATTTCAAACTTGCAATAACAATGTCATTTCTCTTGTAGAAATCTCTATGATAAAGTTATACATGCTATTTACATATATCACTGAGTAAATTCCCTTTTTAAAAAAAAACGTTTTACTTAATTATTTTTAGAGACAGGGGAAGGGAGGGAGATAGGGAGAGAAACACTGATGTCAGAGAGAAACACTGATCCGTTGCTTCTCATACGTGCCCTGGCCCAAGGAACAGAACCAACAACCCAGGTACCTGACTGGGAATGGAACCGGTGATGTTTGATTACATCTAGCTGTGGCTGAAGGGTTATAACCCTTCCCTCTATTGTTGGCAGTACTATTATTAAATGCAAATAGGTTCTTATACATGTACATTTCATATGCATGTTTATAATAAATGAAGCATAAAGCAATTCAAGCAAAGAAGCCATATCTGAAGTTTTTACTCCTGAGTGTAATGCTAGTTTCTGTTAACTGCTAGCTTTGGTTTGAGTAATGAAAACAGTGTTCCCAAATTAATCAAATAATGTGAAATCTCATGTTATAAAAACTATGGGGAACTATGTCTGTACATCTTAAGTTTTTACAAATTACTCAGGATTATTCTATGTGCAAGTATACTATACATCATTACATTCTTCTATTAGTGAACATTCTAAGGGAGTTTTGTAGTTAAGAACCTGTATTCAATTCTAGTTCTCCCTCTCTCTGGTTATATGACAGAAACATCACCTAATCTCCCAAAGATAACAATTTCCTCAGTGGAAAGATGGAGGTAATCCTGATAGAGTTAAGGAAGGACTACATGAGATAGTGCAACTGAAATACTTAGCTCAGTGCCTGTCACATAGTAAGGCCACTGGATGTTAATAATTTTTATTCTATTAAAAGACCATACTGACCAGGATATCTTCCAGTTTCATATCCAACATGTCTGTGCCAGTAATATATTTCTTCCAGTCCTCTTGTTCTTGCTCCTGTTCTCCCATATTATCCAGGATTAGTTCAAAGAAAATCACCTTCTCAGAAATGGTGCTGAATGTATTATCAAAGCAGAACATGTAGTCACCAACTTCAGTCTCTACCCTGTATTTAAAAAAGTACATCTTCAGTTATTTGTACTTACATTTTAGATAAAAAAAAACACCTACACATAGAAGCAGTAATGGTTTATAATAATTGGGCAGCTTACTGATAGACTTCCTTAGTATTCAAAGATAATTTATAATTCCTTTGGAAAGAGGCAACCCGAAAATATACAGGTGTGGGCAAAAATAGGGTTACAGTTATAATACAAAATATAAAATAAATAATAATGCGATAATAAACTGTTTCATGTACTCACAACTGTAAATCTACCTTTGCCCACTCTTGTACATTCAGGTACTTGAAATCTACATGTGCTTAGCATTATGGTAAATGATCCTGACCTAATTTTTGGAAAATAATAGAATTAAAAATCTAGATACATGATACCTCACAATGAATTTCTTTTTTTTTTAAGATTTTATTTATTTTTCTTTAGAGAGGGAAGGGAGGGAGAAAGAGAGAGAGAAACATCAATGTGCGGTTGCTGGGGGCCATAGCCTGCAACCCAGGCATGTGCCCTAACTGGGAATCGAACCTGTGATGCTTTGGTTCGCAGTCCTCACTCAATCCACTGAGCTACGCCAGCCAGGGCGAAAATTTCGAGACTTATATGTTATAAAAAGTAATTTATCATGAGTTCAATTCATATAGAAATATGACTAGAAACCTCCCCTTCAATTGAGATTAATCTGTAAAGTGAGTTTTGTTTTCAAAAGCAGTGATGTATTTAAATGCTTTCTTTCCTACCAATTGAGTGCATTTTTGGAATATAGTTAGGGTAATAGTAATTCAGTTGTCTAGAAAAATACATTTACATGTAACTCCTCATTACAGGCAGTGCTGGACAATAGATATTATTTAAACTATTTAAGGCTGTATTTGGAGAAATTTTTACTAACCCTGACTTCTAGAAGGGCAGTATTTGTTTTAAAAATTTAACTTAGAAAAAAGATTTCAATGTCATAAATGAGGTTTTAGTTGCCTTTAAAAAGTTAATATAGCTAAAGATACAATTTTTGTTATAATCTAATTTTGACAAAAATGATTTGTAAATATGGTATAGTGATTAAGATTGAGTTGGACTGCCTGGGTTTCAATGATCACTAGCTGTGGAACCTTCCATCAGTTTACCGAACAGCTCTAGGCCCCGCTTTCCTCACTGGTAAAATGATGATTATATCATGTACTTCAAAGGACTGTGGTAAAGAGTGAAACATATAAGTTCATGTACAGTGCTTAGAACAGTGTCTTGGCACATCAAAAAAAGAACTCAGTAAATGTGAACTCTTATAAACTAATTTTTATCTCCTAATGTTTTAATGAGAGGTAATTCTATGCACTAAAGCAGTAAAATACTTTTTCCCTCTAAGAGTCAATATCACTAAAGGACAGCATTAAATTGAAGAACAACAAAAACTAACAAATTCTACACATTTTTTATACTCAGAAATTTAAAGATAAACTACATTTTTAGTTCTTGTTCATATATCTATCAAAGAGAAAGTATACTGTATTTTGTTGTGTATAATGCGTACTTTTTTTGCCCAAATTTTTGAGGGAAAAATAAGGATGCGCATTACCCATGAGCAATACTAATTTCATATCTATATAAATGTTTTAAATTCTTTTATTTATGCTTATGTGTTAAAAGTGTAACTCTAGAAAGCAGTTAACAATATCCGTTTGCAAAATAAAATCCCAGAATATGATTAATCAGTTTTGTTCCTAAATATAAGTAAGTAAATAAATAACTGAATTAAAAGTTAAGATGAAATTATTTTTTTCCTGAAAGTTTTGGCCAAAAACACATTAGTGTGCATTATATAGAGCAAAATATGGTTGTTAATCCCAAGTATATCAATCTAAATTGACTTTTTAAATTACTATTTCTCACCCTGGCTGGTGTGGTTAGTGGATTGAGCACTGGCCTGTGAACCGAAAGGTTGTCGGCGCAATTCCTAGCCAGGGCACAAGCCTGGGTTGCAGGCCAGGTCTTGGGTTGGGGTCATGCGAGAAGCAACTGATCGATGTATATCAATGCATTTCTCAGAAATCGCTGTTTCTTTCCCTCCCTTTCTCCCTCCCTTACCCCCTTCCTAAAAGTAAATATTTTTAAAAAGTAAATGACAACTTTCCCTATTTTATATATTAATCATTTATGCAAATATTTTTTTCTGAGCTCTACATAGCTAAAATGCCTTTTTACAAAGCACTCTGAAATTAATACCTTAAATTATGATGGAGATATTTTCCCCCTCATTCATTCATACATGTATTCAGTTTTTACTATCAATTACATGCCAGGTACTTTCATTACCAAAGACCAATAATTGTAATAATAGCTAATACTTACACAGTGCTATGTGCCAGAGATGTTCTAAGCATCATATGGTAGAAAGTAAGAACTTTGGTCCATCCTGCCTCCTCTTAATAAATGTATATCCCTGCAGACTTATTTAACTTCTCTGAGCTTCCTTGTCTGTAAAGATTCCTTGTCTGTAAAATGGGAATTAGGGAATCAAAGAATCTTTCTCACAGTGGATTGGAATAATTAATTTAGAAGCATATAAAATGCAAAGCCTTAGGAAAAAATTCCACTCAAGTCACAAAATTTTCTCTTTTGGTATAATGTCTAGCATTAAATAAATAGTTGTTACAATATTTATTATTATAACCTCACAACTGAGAGAAGAGCACAGTTCTGAGGATGCCATAGCTGAGTAAGACAGGAGATAATTCTCATTCTGCTTTTCTTGATGGGCAAACTGACCATATCCGAGGAACTGTTTTGGTTTCTCTGGTACTACACTTTAAGAGCAGCTTAGAGCATCTTCCAACGAAGGTAAAAGAATTCACAGTCTTGTCATACAAAAAAAATGGTGGAGGGAATGAAGAATGATTCACTTGGTACAAAGATAACTTGAAGGGAACATGGTATCTGTCTTCAAATATTTGAAGTTATCCCATGAAAAAAAGCAAGGAAAGCCATACTAATGGGCAGAAACTTCAGGAAGATACATTAAAACAAATGCAAAGCCTAGTTTATGGCAAATATTAGATACTCTGTACTCATTCTTCTTCCTGTAAACTCAAAGAGTTTTGTTTTAAAAACAATACTGAGTAACAAAAATGCTAACGTAAAATACTAGAAAGGAACACTGAAACATCAGTGACAGATTTTAAAAAAGGAAATAAGAAGCTAATATATGGTGTGTTGTCAAATTTAAACTGAAAGTGTTATAACAAGTATCTTTTTATATGGTTTTCTATGGTCAGATTTTTTACTTTTGGGTCTTCTATTGGTGTAAAAAAAGTGAGGTCTGAGTAAAAAACCAATTTTTACATATACACACACAAATGTATTTTACTGTTGTTTTAAGGAAGAAAAGAATGGCCAAGATGATAGCAAGCAGCTCAAGAAACTTTTAGGATACACACCCAGAACGGTAACTTAAAGTTAGAACAGAAAGCCTGCACTAGCCGGAAAGGCAGGTTAAAATTGCCAAAATAGATTGAATGCAATACCTAGGGAACGCTCATCTATTTAACCAGAGCAAGGAAAAAGTTTAGTCAGGATCAACACAAAATGCCTAAGCAAAAAGAAAGAGGTCAATGGAAAATACTGTAGCTTTTAAGGCAGATTACTATCAAGGACTGTTTAAAATATTCGTATAGAATTTAAATTTAGTATCAAATGTGCTATATAGTATCAAAATGTGCTAAATTGATATTTAGTACCAAATGTGGTAAATTTCCCTGCCCCACAGAGAGCCCACTGGTATTATTTAGCCCAGAGAATCAACTAAGAGATTACTTACATGTGAACTCCATCTGATTTTCTTTGCTCAAAAACTAAGGTTCTTCCTTCTGGAGAAACAAGATGGAAATCAATATCTAATCCTGCTCCATCTAAAACCTGTAGAATAGTTCAGAAGAGAAGAACATATATTATAAGGTAGATGATTAAAAAATGTCTTTATAAACCTAGAGGGGAAAGAAAGCCAATGGACTCATTAGTGCTAGAAAGAAGCAGAAAGATCATCCAGTTCAATTCCAGTAATTTTTGGAACTGGTCCCTTTCTTACCAATTCCCGTTGGCTATCATGGAAATTTAGACCTTATAGGTACTGTAACAGGGTGCAGCCAAGAGGGGAGCCCCAAATAGGGATTTGTAATGGGGTCCAGGAGAGCTTGGAGATAATTGGCTCCACACCACAGGGCCACACCTGCCCAGAATGCGGGCAGCAGTGGACAATTTGTGAGAGGAGCCGGAAAGAGGGCTGCAGAGGAAGATCAGCGCTGGGAATTAAACAGAGCCACAGCAGCCATTAGGCGTCTCTCTTTTTGGGACCACGCATCTGTTTAGGACCACGCGGCTTTGGTGTCTTGGTTGGGACCATGAGGCTTGGGTGAGAGTCAGGACTGAAGCTTTGGAGGTGCTCCCTTTTGCCACGTGGAGGGTGCTGGGAGGACTGTGTGCATTTGTGGGGAACTTTAGTTTGTGTTATTTCAAATGAGTAATAAATTCCTTTCCTTTTCACGAATCTCGGGCATTGAGAGATGTCTTTCCTCTGGCAGCGGACATAACGAACCTGGGGGTTCCTTTCAAGTAATAGTATATTGCCTTGGCTGCCCTTGGCACCCCCCTTTTGTACTGTAACAGTACTAATGAAACAATCTTCCTAAAAGCAGTGCCTTCACTGAGAATCCTGTAGAGTAAAAAGAGATAGAGGAGAGTTCAAATCTAGGACCTTTTACTTAGGCAATTTAGGGTATGCTATGTAACTTTTCTGAGTTTGTTTTCTCTTCAATACAGTAAGAATAAGAATTAGCTATTTCTTAGCCTAGAATTCAAGACCTCCATGATCTGATTCCAACTGACTTCTTCAACAGATTTATCTATTGCTCCCAATATGAACCGTATATTCAAGGTAGGCTGTTTACTTACTGACCAATGAACACTATCTGTTCCTTTACAATCCCCAAATTGACCTCTTCCTGCTGCTGCTGCCGAGAAGATAGCCGCTCACAGTTACAGTTTATGCCACACAGTTGGTTATTTATTTATTTACAATCCTCACCTGAGGATATGTTTATTGATTTGAGAGAGAGAGAAACATTGATCAGTTGCCTCCCATACATGTTCTGACTGGGGATTGAATCCACAACCCAGGTATTGCACCCTGACCGAGATCAAGCCAGCAACTGAACTGTTTTGGTCTACAGGATCATGCTCCAACTAACTGAGACACCCAGCCAGAGCCATACATTGTCTTCTAAGTGCTTTATGTGGATTAATTTATTCCTCACGACTCTAAAAAGTAGGTCCTATTATTCTCATTTTAATAAAAAGTAAAAACTGAGGTTCAAAGAAGTTATTTTCCTGAGGCAATACAGCAAATAAGTGGCACGGCCACAATACGAACTCAGCAATCTCTCTCCAGTGGCTACTCTTTTTCTTATATAACACTCCATCTTATTTTTCTTGGTGGCTTTAATGGGATAATATAAAAGATTACCTACTCCTGCTCTCTACTTATTAATCAAAAGAACCTGTTTCAAATGGCTAAATATACACAATTCTTTCTCCTCTTTAAATCCCAATGAAATGAAGAAAACATAATACAAATAATCCATAACAATACTGGAAATCTCAAAAGCCTGTTAACAGACTTGAAGAGGAAGGAATTTCTAGAAGATAACTCCACTGAGCAAAGGCTATGTCTAGCTACAGGTATCTACTGATCTCAAAACTCTCAATTAAATGTACATTACAAACAAATGTGATGTTAGCAGAATGAACATGGATGGAGACTGAAAATCAGAGAACTAGAAGGAGCCAAGGAATTCTCAGAACAGGATGAAAAAGTATAAATGAAAAAGTATGAGGAAAATAGTAAGACCCTTCATGAAGGACAGAGCTAAAGATTTGAAATTATCTAATAAGCAGTTCAAAAGGAGAGAAACGAGAAATGAAGGGAGGAAATTATCAAATAAGAATAAAAATTCCTGTTTCAAAAAATAAAATTCATTAGACTGAAGCAGAATAAAAGATCTAAAAATCCTACCATCTTTCTAAAAGGATTTAAAAAGAACAAACTAGAAACTAGTTAAGTCTTACAGACTAGTAGAGAACTGCCAAAAACAAAAACAAAAAACCCCACCACCACCCCAAAATAAACAAAAACAAACAAGAATTGGGATTGGTGACAGAATTCTTACATATAAGATGGAAAAACCCCCACAATGGAGCCATGTCTTCAGTGTTCCCGAGTAAAAAATTATACAGTTTACTGAAGTGAAAGCAAAAAGTAAAGCCATTTTCATATTATTTGAGGACTCAAAACATTCTAAGAGAATTACTTAAGGCTATCCTCCAAAAAAAGGTATCCATTAAATCAGAAAATGAACTATAACAAAACTAAGCAGATTTCAATAAAATTAAGTTTAAAAGATATTTTTGATAGAGGCTATCAGGCTTAGTGAAATTGTTAAATATGGTCCTAAAGAATAGACATTAACTTAAAAATATATAAAATATATACTTAAAATACAAATTATTTCTTTTAAAAAGCACCATAATCCAAAACTAAACTTCTGGATGATTTTAATGGAACATGATGGGCCAGTGCCACTCCCCCAGTCTGTATACTATGGTAACAGTGTTTCAATCCCTCAAAAGCTGTCTTCTGTCTTATTCCTCAGAGCCTGGTCACATAATGTTCTTTTGACCCATCACCTTGTTCTACTGACTCCCTTATGCCTAGTAAGCCTGATTCTTCTACAGATCTGAATTCTACTTCCTCTGGAATGTTTTCTCCCAATTCCTAGATGAAATCAAGTCCTCCCTTTAAATGCTCTCATAACTGTATACATTTACCTTCATAGCATGTGTTAGAATTGTAATTTCATTTGTTTGTGTAGTAATTTAATTAACATCTATCCCCATACAAGACTGTGTAAGAGTATGAACTATTCAAAGCACCTAGCAGAGTGCTTATACAAATTAAGCACTCAGTAAAGATTTAAATTTTTAAATGATCTATTTTATTCACAGAATATATATACTGACATTTAAAATTTTTGAGAATATAATGTAGCGCTTATCAAATATCCTGAAAGTGTCCTCCTAACCCTGAAAAGTAAGAAATGGTTAAAATTTTCAGTTTGTCCAATGGCAATGTTTGGAACCTGGGTTCTCTGAAACTTTAAGCTACTGGTTTTTGTCTTAATTTTTAAAGTTAATGCAAAGTTAATCACAGAGTAGGAAAAGGCAGACAAAGGGCCGAAGATGATCTCTACCCTACACACTCCTCCAACATTGTCTAGGATTATAGACATTAAATGATTTCACTTTTCTTATCAATTAAACTGTTTAGGGAGAATGAATGCTTTGGAGGAACAGTCCCTTTAAGAGTGACTAAATATACAAAGTATAAAGCTAAACCAAGCCATCAATATAATACTAGCACTGTAAATGTAAAAAAAAAAATTAACATTCATTTAATATTTAGTATGTGTCAGAGACAGTTTATGGACACACTTATTAACTCATTTTTTCAAATCTCAGAGGTAATTACTGTTACCTCTATTTTATCACTGAAACACCAGTGCCCCCTATTATCTCTATTTTACAAATCAGAGGTTAAGTAACTTGTTCAAAATCACACAGGTAGTAATTGAGAGGATTTCAACCCAGTCATTTTATCTCTTGAGCAAGAAGTCTTAATCATAAGAGGTCAGTAGTTAAAATAGATTTCCTCCCTAATACCTGGGTAAATACTGAGGAATTTTTGAGTAATACAAATTGCTTTCTTATGTGTACCATTCCACTAATTTCCCTGCCTCTAATTTTGACCTCCTTAAACCCACCTTCCACACTACCCAGTGATCTATCTGAAAAACACTTTTGACTGTTACCATACTGCTTAAATTTTCAATGGCTCTTGCACAGAATAAGTGCACAGCTACTTAATATGGTGCACAAGGTTAAGATAATAATGATCCATGATCAAGCCTCCTGATCTTTTTTCTTTTACTCCCACTCAACTTTCTAGACTTAGTCTAATAAAAACTCAGCACTTGTAGTGTCCACTACATACTGCCCACTGCCAAAACACTCCCACTATGCATCTTCAGACCCATCTATTCATTTTGTTCCTTTTCCTGAAATGTCCTCCCTTCCTTGCATTCTTAACTTAAGCATCTTTCTAGATTCAAATTTTTTATCCAGGAATCTTTTTTTGAAACCCTAGAAAAGTGGTCCTCCTCTATTAGCACTTAATCGTACTTTATTGACATTACTTGTTTATGAGCCAGTACCTCTTAGTATTTCAAGTACCCCTTGAAAACAGGGACTCTTTTTGTTTTTAACCCTACACCCCCATTACTGGCACATGGTACTTGTTCAATAAGAGAACTTTTGACCTAGACTGGAAGTTTAAAAATGTTGAGTTCTAGATTTGGTTTTGCTAACTATGTAACTTTTAGATACACTCTATGCTTACCTTATAAATCTATAAATAACCTAATTCTAGTCCCTCTGGATGAAAATTCTACATAACTCTTTATTTTGCTCTACATGTGACAGTACTTGTTACTGAAAAAGATCCCCTACAACTTAAAAAAAAATTGACCAGTGATTATAAATTAAGTAACTTGTAAAAAGATTAAAAGATGAACCACACCAACACACTTCTTTTTGCAGTGCTACCTAGAGACATTGAAATTAGCCGTGTGGAACTAACAAGATTTCTTCCAAGAAATTACCCTCTATCAGGAGGACTACATTAAACTAAGGCAATTTCCTATATATTATGCAGATACTAAAAAGAAGCCAATAATATATAAAAAAAGGGCTTACAGTGCTGGGTGAAAGGTTACAGTGTTTTCATATACAATTAGATCTTATTTGATTAAAGATGTAACAGATAAGGAAACGTACCATTCATTACATATACATCAATAACCCCTTTCACAATATTCCAAAATCGAATTTAGTGATAATCACACGGTCACGATGCAAAAACCCTTAACTGAAGCAATGGCAGTTAAGATTTATAACACTGAGGCTGGGTGAGGGTGGTGGCGTGAATTGAACAAATATCATTTCTTCCAATGATAAAGGAAAACGTGTGTCAGTCCTGTATTGTGAAATTCTCAGTATTGGAACATGAACTGGCTAGCAAAGCGATGGCCGAATTATGACACGCAGAAAAAACCCACAGACATTAGCAGCGCTGGCCTTTCTCCCACGGGAGGAAAGGGGAGAGGGCAAAGAGTCAATTTCAGGTCTTGCTTAACTTGCCAGTTCCCTGCCCCACCAAGCGCAGCCTCGCGCGCCTGCGCGGAGCTGGCCCGCTGCCGGCGCGGCCCTCACCTCTTCACCAGCCAGGCTGTGCATAGGAAGTTTCCAAACGGGTGAGAGGCGACAATGTGGTGCAGCGGAGCTAAGGGAAAGAGGCTGGGTCACCTTCCACACTTACTTGGTACTCGATCTCCAGAGAGGCCTTCAGAGGCATGGGCTGGTAGAAACACTCCTTCCGGCCGGCCTGAAGGGTAAACGTGAAGTCGCTGTCTAAGGAATGCGTGAAGCCAACCACTCCCGGCAGCAGCACTGTGGGCAGAGCGGCCAGCAGGAGCACCGAGAAGGGCAGCCCGGTCTTGCCGCCCATCCCTGCCCGGGCGCTCTCGGGATGTGGTGTTGGGAGGTGTGAGTGGTCCGCACGTAGGCGCCAAGTTTCCTCCAAGGACTCCTCGTGGTTGGCTGGTAAACCTAGAGGAAATTCCAGGAGGTGGCCGTGAATGCAGACACTCCCAGAGAACGTGTTACGCCAGCCTCCCAAGTGTAAGAACTGAGGGTGGGGCCGGCAGTCCCTTTCCGCACCGTCCTAGGTCTCGCCTCCCCCAGGCCCCACGTGAGCAACGTAGTTCCGAGGGAGCCGGCTCAGACACGCTCTCAGACCACGATACCCGACAGGCCCCGCGCTTCCGGCTTCCTCAGGCCCACACTACGCGGAGGGGTGGAGGGGGAGGTGCTGCGACCCGGGAGGCGGGACCTCAACGGTTCCCGCGACGGTTCGAACTCTTCGGAGTTCGTGGGTTCTCGGCGTGTTGTGTCTGCTGTTCCCACGCCCAGGGCCCGCGAGAGGGTCCGTGGCTTCCGAACGCAAAGGAGAGCGCGGCGGGCGCTGTCGACGGGTGGGTGTCTCTGCCAGCTAACACTTGGGTGGTGGGCGACTTCTTTGTGAGCAGAAACTGGCCTACCTGCGGCGGTTGTGTTCTGTTCCGTCCAGGCACCCTCGGAGCGCTTAGTCTAGACCTCCTGTGCTGCGTACGCTGCTCTGCCGGCTTGTATTTTAGTTGAGGGAAAAAATGAAGAGGAAGATGTCTTATTTGCCACATTCAGATGAACGTAGGAATAATTTTGTCCAGATGAGTGGTTTTGATACAAAAATCTTTTTTCGACTATAGCCCATCCTATTATATACAGAGGGTATAAAGAGCACTTGTTCTTCGTTGCCATGGTTGTGCTTGTGAAGAGCTACAGACGCGTTATTCGTGCCAAAAGATGACGTCAGGGTCGGTAGATAGCATGTGCTTTTCCACATATGTACAGGCAATGAAGACAGACTTTTATGACTACTGAAGGGAGGAGGAATCTTCATTTGACAAGAAATGGCCCACTAGGAAAAAAATCTGAATATCAAATGAATTCATTGATACTTCAGAAGTGTTAGAGAATTTTTACGTTAAAATACATGGAAGATGTTGGACATTCTGATTTAGTTGAACCACAATATTGAATGACATTTTAGAATTTACCTAAATTTTCTTTTTAAAAAATTTTAATCATTGTTCAAGTATTTTTCTGTCCTTTACTCCCATTCCAGTCCACCCACCTATCCCTCCTCACCTTCCTCCCATTCCCCCCCCCCCCAGTTTTTGTCCATGTGTCCTTTATATTTGTTCCTGTAAACCCTTCCCATTCTCCCCTGAAATTCCCCTGAAATTCCCTCCCCTTTCCCCTCTGGTCTCTGTCAGCCTGTTCTCTATTTCAGTGTCTTTGACTATATTTTGCTTGTTTCTTTGTTTTGTCGTTTAGGTTCCTGTTAAAGGTGAGATCATATGGAATTTTCTTTCACTGTCTGGCTTAATTCGCTTAGCATAATGCTTTCCAGCTCCATCCATGCTGTTGCAAAGGGTAGGCGCTCCTTTCCCTCTGATGCATAGAATTCCATTGTGTAAATGTACCAGAGTTTTTTGATCCATTCATTTACTGATGGGCACCTAGATTGCTTCCAGCACTTAGCTATTGTAAACTGTGCTGCTATGAACATTGGGGTGCACAGGTTCTTTTGGATTGGTGTTTCAGGGTTCTTAGGATATAGTCCCAGCAGTGGAATTGCTAGGTCAAAAGGCAGATCCATTTTTAGTTTTCTGAGGAAGTTCCATACTGCTTTCCATAGTGGTTGTACCAGTCTGCAGTCCCACCAGCAGTGCACTAGGGCCCCCTTTTCTCCACAACCTCTCCAACACTTGTTGTTTGTTGCTTTGTTTATGATGGCCATTCTGACTGATGTGAAGTGGTACCTCATTGTGGTTTTAATTTGCATCTCTCTGAGCTAGCGATATTGAACATCTTTTCATGTGTCTCTGGATCCTCTGTATGTCCTCCTTGGAGAATTGTTCAAGTCCTTTGCCCATTTTTTAATTGGGTTGCTTGTCTTCTTAGAGTGGAGCCATGTAAGTTCTTTATATATTGTCTGAGGTATCATTGGCAAATATGTTTTCCCATACAGTTGGTTCTCTTTTTCTTTTGATACTGTTTTCTTTAGCTGTGCAGAAACTTTTTATTTTGATGAGGTCCCATTTGTTTATTCTTTCCTTTATGTCCCTTGCTCTAGGGGACATGTCAGTAAAAATGTTTCTGCATGAAATATCTGAGATTTTCTTGCCTATGTTCTCCTCTAGGACCTTAATAGTGTCACAGTTTATATTTAAGTCTTTTATCCACCTTGAATTTATTTTTGTGTAAGGTGTAAGTTGGTGCTCTAGTTTCATTTTTTTGCATGTAGCTGTCCAGTTCTCCCAACACCATTTGTTGAAGAGGCTATTTTTACTTCATTTTCTGTTGCTGCCCCTTTTGTCAAATATTAATTGACCATAGAGACTTGGATTTATTTCTGGGCTTTCTCTTCTCTTCCCATTGGTCCATGTGCCTGTTTTTATGCCAGTACCAGGCTGTTTTGATTACAGTGGCCTTGTAATATAGTTTAGTATCATGTATTGTGATCCCTCCTACTTTACTCTTCTTTCTCAAAATTGCAACAGCTACTTGGGGTCGTTTATGGTTCCATATAAATTTTTGAAGTGTTCTATGTCTGCAAAATATGCTATTGGTATTTTAATAGGTATTGCATTGAATGTGTAAATTGCTTTGCATAGTATGGACATTTTGATGATGTTATTTCTTCCAGTCCATGAACACGGTATATGTTTCCATTTGTTTGTGTCTTCCTTGATTTCTTTCTTCAGTATTATGTAGTTTTCTGAATACAGATCTTTCACCTCTTTGGTTAGGTTTATTCCTAGGTATTTTATATTTCTTTTTGCTATTTCAAATGGGATTTTTTTTCTTGATTTCTGCTTCTGCAGTTTCATTGTTGGTGTACAGAAATGCCTTTGATTTCTGGGTATTGACTTTGTATCCTGCTGTTTTGCCAAATTCATTTATTAGCAGTTTTTGCAGTCCAGTTTTTGGCCAAGTCTATAGGATTTTCTATGTACATTATCATGTCATCTGCAAACAGTGACAGTTTTGTTTCCTCCTTTCTGATTCAGATGCCTTTTATTTCTTTTTCTTGTCTGGTCAGTGGCTAAAACTTCCAGTACTATATTGAATAGAAGTGGTGAAAGTGGACAACCTTGTCTTGTTCCTGATCTTAGTGGAAAAGATTTTAGTTTTTACCCATTGAGTATGATGTTGGCTGTAGATCTCTCATATATGGCCTTTATTATGTTGAGGAATGCTCCCTCTCTTCCCACTTTGTTGAGTGTTTTTATCGTAAATGGGTGCTGCAGCTTATTAAATGCTTTTTCTGCATCTATTGTTATGATCATGTGATTTTTGTCTTTGCTTTTGTTTATGTGGTGTATTACATTTACTGATTTGCGAATATTGTACCATCCTTGCATCCCTGGGATGAATCCCATTTGGTCATGGTGTATGATCTTTTTAATGTATTGTTGGATGCAGTTTGCCAATATTTTGTTGAGGATTTTAGCATGTATGTTCATCAGCGATATTGGTCTGAAGTTTTCTTTCTTCATTGTGTCTTTATCTGGTTTTGGAATTAGGATGATGTTGGCCTCATAAAAAGAGTTTGGGAGTCTCCCATCTTTTTGGATTTTTTGGAATAGTCTGTGAAGGATAAGGTTTAGCTCTTCCTTAAATGCTTTGTACAATTCTCCTGTGAAACCATCTGGTCCCAGGTTTTTGTGTGTTGGGATTTTTTTGATTACTGCTTCAATTTCATTTGCTGTTATTGGTCTGTTCAGGATTTCTGCTTCTTTTTCATTGAGTTTTGGAAGAGTATGTTTTTCTAGAAATTTGTCCATTTCATGTAGATTTTCAAATTTCTTGGCATATGGTTCTTCATACTAATTTCTTACAATCCTTTGTATTTCTGTGGTATCCGTTGTAATCTCTCCTCTTTCATTTCTGATTGTGTTTATTTGGGTCTTCTCTCTTTTTTTATTGATGAGTGTGCTTAAAGGCTTGTCAATTTTGTTTATCTTTTCAAAGAACCAGCTCCTGGATTCATTGATCCTTAGAATTGTGCTTTTAGTCTCTATGTCATTTAATTCTGCTCTGATCTTGGTTATTTCCTTCCTTCTACTTGCTCTGGGCTGTCTTTGTTGTTGTTCCTCGAGTTCTTGTAGACGTAGGGTTAGGTTGTTTGTTTGAAATGTTTCTATCTTTTTTAGGTATGCCTGTATCACTATAAACTTCCCTCTCAGAACTGCCTTGGCTGTGTCCCATCGGTTTTGGGTTGTTGTGAGTTTATTTTCATTTGTTTTCAGAAACTTTTTGATTTCTTCCCTAATTTCATTCTTGACCCATTCATGGTTTAATAGCATGCTATTTAATCTCCATGATTTTGAGTGTTTTTGATTTTTGTCCTTGGGGTTGGTTTCTAGTTTCAGTCCCTTGTGATCCAAGAAAATGCTTGGTATGATTTCAATTTTCTTCATTTATTAAGGCTTGTTTTGTGTCCTATCATGTGGTCTATCTTTGAAAATGTTTCATGTGCATTTGAAAAGAATGTGTATTTAGCTTCTTTGGGATGGAGGGCTCATATATATCAGTTAAGTCCATTTCCTCTAGGGTATTGTTCAGTGCCACAGTATTTTTGTTGATATTTTGTTTGGAAGATCTGTCCATTTTTGACAGTGGGGTGTTAAAGTCCTCCACTATAATTGTGTTGCTGTCAGTATCTTTCTTGAAGTCCTCTAAGATTTTCTGTATGTATTTGGGTACTCCTTTTTTGGGTACATGTATGTTTACAATGTTTATGTTTTCTTGGTGGAGTCTTCCCTTGAGTATTATGAAGTGACCTTCTGGGTCTCTCTTTATGGCCCTTTTTTGGAAGTTTATTTTGTCTGATATGAGTATTGCTACCCCAGCTTTTTTTCCCTGTCTGTTTGCTTGGAAAATTTGTTTCCAGCCCTTCACTTTCAGCCTGTGTAGGTCCTTTATCCTGAGGTGGGTCTCTTGTAGGCAGCATATGTGTTGGTCATGCTTTCTTATCCATTCAGCTATTCTATGCCTTTTGATTGGAGCATTTAATTCATTTACGTTTAAGGTTATTATTGATAGGTACTTATTCATTGCCCTTTACGTTCCTGTGTTCCTCTCTCTGTCTTTTCC